ATTACACATATTTTACACCTTATAGAGAATGGGCTTTGTTTTAAATATTCATGACATTTCAAAGGAAAGTATTGGTCAGTTGTCTCCATTCCTGTCTTGATAAAAAAATTAATACAAAATAGAAAACTTCTAAATTACTAAGAAAAATGTTTGACTGTAGATCAGGAAAAGACACTGACACAACAGGGTAGCCCTAATTTAGAATAACATTTTGCATCCAAGATAGGCCAATTTAAAAGGTGTATGATGGTTGTCTTACTAAATGTTGGTATATAGCCCACCACAAAGTAATAATTAAATGTTAAAACTATGGTAAACTTTGGGGAAATTAAAACACTAAATTTGTCATTGGGAAGAGGTTGGATGTGCAAGAATCCAGATAGTTAAAATGACCCTAACACCAAGGTTGGGAAAAATTTTTTTAAATTCTCCACTGAATTATAATTTGGCTTTTTCTTTCCAGAATCCATATTGACAGATCAGCTTTGTCCTGAAAGTTTTCAAGATCAGGTCTTCAGCTACACAAGTTACTAAAGGCTTGTATTTTCCTCTGGGGTTGAATGTCTGGTTTCTAGAGCTGTACACTGGGCTCTCTATCCTGGTCTGACTTCTGTGTTTCAGATCTCCCACTAGACAGCTGATATACAACTCAGAAGACATAAATTACAACTAGTATCAGTCTATCTTTGTTGAGACTAAATGACTGCATTGCGAAGTTTTCCACCAATGCTAATAGGTTTTGGACTTAGCAACTCCTGTCAAACAGTACTTACAGTAAACACTTAAAAAATTGTACTTTGGGTTTGCCAAAGTGGGAATTAAGGCCCCTTCAAGTTTATTTAAAGACTCCGTTCAGTTCTAGCAGACTCCCTGTGAAACAAGCAGGGGTGTTATGCTTGCTCCAACTGCACAGGAAATCTGGTCTCGCCTTCCGCTGCTTGCATTTTGAGCAGAAATGCCATCACTACACAAAACCTGCAGGAATCCCACTCTGAGTAATTAGGTGACCAACCTCTTAAAAACCTGCCAGAAGCAACAGTGTCTATAAAAATCTATTTAGTGCGTCAGTTATTTAGTTCTATTTCTGCATTTAAAATTAGGATTATTTGAAGAAAAGTAAGATATTACACAATCTTCATGTTAACTAAATGATTGCCAAACCAAGGATGAAGATTGACACATTGACACAGTATGTGAATTATAAGAAAATTGGTTAAATGGGCCATTAAGAGTGTGTTCTTTATACCCTTTGATGCAAAAAACAAAGAATGTGCTAAGGGATAGGGTAGGGTGAAATCACATACATTTTAAAGAGCACTTTGCCAGGAGCATTCGTAATGCATTGGCTTTAAGAGACTTCTAAAAATATATAGGTTCCAAATTCCCCTTGGATCTTTCCCTTCTTCCCAATGCTCTGCCCTCTATGGGGAGCAATAATTTTGCAAAAGTCCCATAAATGTCTGTCCTATGAGGACACCCTAGCTCTGAATCCAGATGCTGCTACCAAAAGAAGGAAGCGTCTTCTGTGGTGACATTACATACAAATTACCTTTTGAATTAGTAGCTACTCTTTACAAAACTATCAATTTTCTAGCAGTCTGTTAATGGAGCAAAGAAAATGAAATTCAGTCACTTGGTCAGGGGGGATAGGATAAAGAGGAAGCTAGTCCACAGAGCAAATGGTCCCCAATTCTCAGGTGCTCAGTTCTGAAAAGCGATGAATCCATGCTCATACACGCCTTTCTTCCTTGCCTTCTTCTTCTCCCACCCTCCATTTTTTTTCTTTCTTACACGTTAAGTGCTTTGTATGTGCTGGATGCCAAAATCTAATATCCTGAGGGCAGGGACCATGTTCTTCTGGTTCACTCTTACACTGCCTGTGCCCAGGAAGGTAGCAACCTGGCACAAAATAAGCACCAAGTGAAGTCAACAAATATCTCCAGAGTGACTATGGAGAGGGAAACTGCTAGGTGCTTGGGCCCCAGGGTGAGATACACACACACACACACACACACACACACACACACACAAACTTGTTCTGGTTGGAAAAATTGACTTATTTAGAAGCAGTGCTTTCAATTTTTTTCCATCAGAAAACCCCTAACGAAAGGCAAGGAAATTCTGTGAGGCTTTCTGCTTCATAGTTTATGGTCTTTCTGCATTTCAGTGTTTCCCTATCATGCTGGGCAGTCTGTTGCTACCTCATGTCCCCTCCTTCTGAGTGTCCATCCACCGTATTGCAGGGGAGCCAGAAACTGTATTTCCTAGACTTCCCTTCGCCTTCTAAGTCAGAGTGCGCCAAGGAGAGGAATTTCCATGAGACTGGGAAAAGAGAGAAAAGGAGAGGCCAACGTGGGCACAGTAGGCAGCAGATACAGGCTTCACAGCAGCTTCAAGATCTTTTGCAGGCCACCTGCTTTGGTGCTGTGACAGCCAAGTAGGTAGGTGGCAGCCCCTTGAGACCCACTGGTGTTAATGCTCCAAGCTGAGGAGGCACAATCTCCCAATGTTTCAACATGCACAGTGACTTTGGGCCAGCTCCTGAGATCTGCCCTCACTGGGGCTGCCTACTCACCTTCCCCTTCCCGTCCCTCTGAGGCTGCTGGAAGCTTCTAAGTCCACCTATTGAACCCCTTTCCACTGACAGTAAGTGGCTATTTTCCTAACTGGACCCTGATAGTACTGTTAAAATAGTTCAAATTACCGTAAGGCAAAATGGGCTTTCTTTGTGTCATACTTAGTCAATAAGATGTTGCTTCACCGTCTATTGACTTCGGAAAACCCTGCGGAAGTAAAGATGACCCTGCGTGGTGACAACCAAGCAATTTATTTACGATTGCCTGTGTTACAATCCTAAACACGTGGGGAAAATAGTTTCCTCTTCATTGATTTACAAATTATGACTGGACAGTTGTTAAGTAGAACTGTCATGCATTTTGTAAAAGAACAGGTACCACACATGTTTCAGCTCCTGAACTGCTCAAATCTATGGAAAGGTCTATGGAAAGACTTCCGAAGAGGTCTGGACTGCACAGGCTGGATTTTGTTTTATTAGCTCAATCATGAAAATATACATCTTCGTTTTTTGTTTAAGGAAAGATGCTTGATGATGTTATTTACCACGAATGAGGAATTTCCATCACATTTATATGAACTAAAAGTATCACCTAACTCACAACTGACCCAAACAACTCTCTCTATCCCATTCTGAAATTTTGATTGCAGCAACCTGGTCATGTGTAAAAACCAGCCAATTCTGCCTTTCAAAAAAATAAATGCTGAATAAGTTACCCTTGTGAATTGTTCTTTATTATTCAATGATGGACAATGGTGTTATGCAGGTTTTACCTTTTATTACAACGTTCTTCTTTTCTACATAAAGAGACAAAAACTACATCAACTAGAAAAACTCTTCTGTACCTTCCTTTTTAAAGTACAGACTAATTTTGTGGAACAAAAAGTCTTCAAAAGTCATTTCTTTTCACATTAGAAATTTGTCTATAAAGACTGGTACTCTAAACACTTTTTTTGTATAGAAAATTTGACCATTTTTAACAAAAGCAGTGAAGACCCTGAAGGACCCGGTGGCCACCTTTCCAAGGAGCAGTGTTCTCAGTCAACCATGCCGCTGCCGCCCCTGGGAACTGAACTGGCATGCTCCGTGGGCCTGACTCCAGGTGCTGTGTCCACGGTCTGCTGACCTGGAACGAGTTCCATCTGACCCACATCTACGTCTGCTTTTGGAGCTGATCGCATGCCCATTAGAAAAACAAGCTGCGTTATGTGGAAACGACACCAGTTACTCTTATCCTCAATCACTGTGCAAAACCAAAACATTTTCATAATATTTAGTGACCAATACAATGGCTAAATACTTCATGCCACGCTGTCATTCCACTTAAGTAAACAAGCTGGTAGAGCGCAGTCTAAGCCACTGAGGCATGTCTTCGGAGCGCACTAAAGTGAGCTGTATGTGCCATTCAATGAGGAACCTTCTTTAGTCTGAGACTCACTTTGCCTCGAACAGATTCAGACATACCGACAACTCTAATTTTATTTTCTACAGTGTAAGCCTTGCCACCTTTCAAAGTGATTCTAAAACTAAGCTAAAGGAAAAGTTCAAGAATTTAAAACAGTGGCCACTGAATTTTGCGGCTCAAGAATTTTTAGTGGCTACTAAAAATTAAAAGTTTTTCATTTTATTTTTTCTAATCAAGACTATTTTTTGTGTTCCAAATGTTTTGTGCAAATTTCTCCTTCAAAATTAATGACTCTTTAAAGAATACAAGCCACTGAAGTTCCTGTTTTTAGTCATTGATCTGTGTCCCAGTTAAAATCATGTATAAATTATTACCCTTTAAATAAGAGTGCTAAAATCATGCCAAAAAATTAAGTGCTTTTGCTATTATTAGGAACTTACCATAACATAAATAGAAGTAAATGTATGTGTCTTTACAACAACATTTATCAAGTAAAACTATGTCAAAAAAATTGAAATGATTTGTGAAAGCCACTGGGACTTTTATGGCCACAAGATGCCAGTACATGGCATTAAACAGCACGCTTCTATGCACTCACGGTGAAAAAACGTGATGGAGAAAGCCCGACGGCCCGCTGACTCCAGAACAGGTGGATGCTGCCTGGACCCTCTTCCCTGCATCACTCAGCCCGTGCGTTTCAGCAAGCTGACTCTGGTGAGCACAAAACCTCAAAGTTTCCAATCACTTACAAAAAAGTTTTCTACAGTCTCCTTTATAGGACAACAACAACAAAAAGAATTTTACTGTCATGCAAAGCAGCTTTTACTGGTTAGTGGCAAGACCTTTTATGACTGCCGAAATAAAAACTGAGTAAGCCAGCGCCCAGGAAGATGGGTGGCGGCTGCCTGCGGGTGCCGTCCCTCCGCTGGGGTTTCGGGCAGCGAGGCGGCAGAAGCGTGAGGTGAGCGTCAAGTGTCGGTCCCGTGGAAGCACAGTCCTCATGAAACAGAACTCTCCAGGCACTTTTAAAATCATCTTTATTGTGACTGCAAATGTACAACTTAGTTACTTGATATTTTATTTGCTCCCATTTGAAGTTCGTAGCTTGCCATGTAAAACATTGCCTTCACTAACAAACTGCTGTATAAGAACATTATAAAATACAAACTATAAACTAAGATAATTCTTTACAGTATTCAGATTAGTACATTAAAACAAAAGTGACTTAAAAAGGCAAGTGAGTCAATTGGTAAACATCCAATTCCTTTTCCAATGAAGGAAGGTACAAAACGGTACTCAAGGGAAACACGAAATGTTAAGTGCTAGGTGCTGAAAACACTGTGGCACAGTCACCTCCCCAATAATTTTGACCTAAGGATACAAATGTAACCATTATGCTATAGGATATGAGAAAAGATAATTAATTTCCATTATAATAGCTGTGGAAATACTCAACAGAATAACAGGTTGGGATCTTTAGAATTCTAACACAGAAAGTACTGATATGTCATACTTTCCATCCAAATCACATTAAACATTTATAGTGACTACACATTTCTCAGTCAGTGTCAGATTTAAACAGAGCCTACGTAAAAACAGTCTATCCTTAGTTGTTTACTAGGCAATCTACAGCATATGCTTAATATGTACACATCAAGTATATGAAATACAGTGGGAAATTATTCACTGATTTCATTCAGAATAATCAAGGGCCTTAAGAGAAGATAATTTGTGCTGGGATGAACCACAAAAGAAAACCAACATAAACACATAATTTTTTCAAGGTTTTGACAATATTTCCTCTGCTGCCCTAATCAAAAGGCAGAGATTTTTAATGAAGTAACGCAAATCTGGTGCATGTTACAGATGCCCACAGAAAACACACGCACATCTTTAAATTTATTAATTCCCAAAACTAAGTCAACAAGATAAATAAATTATAAATGAAAGACATATACAATGTGGGCAAAAAACTAAGTTATTAGACCAGAAAGCATGACAGTTACGCCAGCAGTGATATTTAGAAAAATGTTCAGTATTAGAAAACATCCGATTTAATACAAAGGAAACATCCCCCCAAATAAAAATAAAAGTATGGGAACCACCCTTTATGCAATAGCGTTAAAATAATAATTAAAAAACCATGATTACAGGAACCTCCCTGCATAATTTAGATTAACGTAGTGCAGCAGTGTGCTCCTTTGTAATTTTAGCCTTTCACTCCCAATATGATGCCAATAATTACAACTCCGATGACAAGGAGAGAAATGATGATGCACAGGGTTTTTCTGGATTTGCGCTGCAGATGCAAAAACAAAAACATGTTGACAAATGTAGTGAAGCATCTTCATAGCAACTGAAAATCATTTGGTTCATTTCTAGAGTGAAATCAATAGTAATTTATTGCCCTCAAATTTTTGGTTGTATTTTTTTTGTTTGTTTGTTTCTTAAAAATCTCTTCAATACACATGGGACTATTTTTTCAAAAATATCCATCTTGAGTTAATGGTACAATTCAAGGGGTAATTGTTCAAACTTTTGTTGGTAATTTTTCTGAGGTAGAAGGCACAGAAAAATAAAAGTTACTGATTTGAGCAATAGACTCAGGTCACCTATGTATGAACACAAAGAACAGCTTAAATGCTTATACAATTTAAAACTTTCATCAAAAAGTTGTTCTTCAAATTGTCAGTTATAAAAAATAGTCATGGTATTAAAAGCACAGTACAGGCAATATAGTCAATAATATTGTAATAAATATGCACAGTGTCAGATGGGTACTAGACTTAATGGGGTAATTGTTTTGTAAGGTATATAAATATCTAATCATTATGTTGTACACCTGAAACTAATAAAATATTATATGTAACTGAAATTGAATAATGATTGTTTTAAAAAGCTGTTCTTCAAAATAAGTTCTCTGAAAATAGCAAGTATAAATGTTTGGCAATTTTTCCCAAGGTTAATTTATTAGTTTTGAAAAATATCATTCTCATTCTTTAATGTTAATGAAAACTGCTTTCAGAATCTCAACATACTAATAAAAAACAAAGAGGCAAAAAAATTAAGATACAGTCATTTGAAATGTAAAGGTTAAGAATCGTTCCATTCCATTCTTCATTCCTGGCCCAGCTGTAGATTTCTGTATTTCTTTAATGGCTTGTGTATCTCACAGCAACATACAGGAATCCTTTTTCTTACAGAGCAAAACAATTCGTAAATTTACGTTGTATTTTTGCAACTTGATGTATCATTAAATTTACAAAAAGATATGTTTCTGACTCTGAAGTTACCCTAAAAACCATGAATACTTTTAGCGTTCCACATGTTCATCTAATTTTTCAACTGAATACTCCTTACATGTAAAACCCAATGCCTTTAGAGTTTCAATACCATGCTTACACATTTACCCCAAATCCCACCTGGTTACCAGACACATGGGTAATGCACCTTTAAGAGGCAGTCACAGGTATCCCCCTGCAGGACAGCAGTTCCCTGGGGAGCCCTCCCTAGGGTGGGGTGGTGAGGTCCTTGGGTTGCTGCAGTGACAAGGGCATTTATCACCTTCCTTTATGCTCATGGCCCACCCAACCTAGTGAGAAGCACCATCCTGCAAAGGCAGGAGGTTATCATCAAGGCTTCCAAAAGTGACTCCTTTCTCATTGCTGTGAGGCCTCCGCAGTTCTGTACAAGGGCAGCTCCAGTTTTGGAGGCGCAGCTTGGGAAGGTGTGTTCCTTTTCCTAGGGTGGTTGCAGGCTTTGCCTTCCACAAGGAAGAGGAACAGTAAAACTTTTATACATGTGCATTCCCCCAAATCCAGAAGCAGAATGAAATAACAGGCAAGCCCAGTCGTGAGAAGTCCTGCTAAACACTATGTGTGAGCAGTTGTGAGGGTTGGCATTTACAGATGCCGTGTGTAAACGTGTTCTCAACTGTTTGTGAATAACACAGTCTCTGACACAGTGGCACTAATCCCACAGAGGCGTGTCACAGGCACAGAGACGGTAAGCACGTTACCCCACCAGTGCCAACGACTGGCTGTCGTCAGCGCTCTCTGCAGAGCTTCCCTGTGCTCTGTGTGCCACGGGATAAGCAGTCTGTCCAGTGGAAAATGGCCTTGAAATCAAAGGGGAACTTCTATGGTGAGAAAAGTAAAAAGCAACTGAAAATGTCTAAGATGGTGCAAACCTTACATGTTTATGAGAAGGAAGGTAACAAGGTCTGAGAAAATAATTGCGAACAATAAAAAAAATGGGGTTTTGAAAGGGTAGTCAAATCTAAGGTGGAATTTAGTGGTTTCCAAAAAGCCTGGCCTTATCCTTGTTGAACAGCAAAGGTCTACATACTAAACAACAGATTAATAGTCCATGTTCCTAATACTCATACAGTACTTTACACACACTTTATATCTGACACACACATATGGACTCCTTTATTAACCTGAGTTACTTAAGAAATCAATGTATTCTTAGTGAAGGGTTGGCTGAATGCTGACAGAACACCTAACAGTGAAGGCCACTCCAAGCTACAACTTCCCCAGCACCTGAAAGGATTGCTTTAGGACAGATCTCTTGCCTCTTTAGTCCATAGTTATTGACAAAAAAAGGGAAGAAAAGGTAGAAGCGAACGGTGAGACACAGAGGCTATCAAAGAGGTTTCTGGGGTGGAAGGTCACAGGGCCATCAGAGACGGTCAGAAAAGCCTGGAGTTCGCTACTGCGCCCCTCGGCACTCTAAACACTACACTTCTAGCCCCAGGGGCCACAGTTCTGGTTCACCCCTGAATGTCATCAAACTAAATCCAGCTTTACACCAATAGGCATATTGCTGGCCTGTCTCCCACAGGGTCTGACACTTCAACATCTCCAGCTGTTTTAACCCTGACGACACACACACAGTTAAAAGTCCGAGTTACAAAACAACTTATTACAGCTGATGTTACCTGATAGTCTGATGCCCTTGACAGTTGCTGGTTTGCTTGTTGAACGTGCACCTCTGCATTTTCAACATTTGCTTCTATACTGTCTAAAATGAAACACACACAGAAACACACCTGTTAAACATGTGCCACTGCTATAGTGACAGAGCTGTGCAGGTCACTGAATCTCACTCGAGGTGAGATTAAACGTACTCACTATTGAAAGGGCAGTATCACTATGCGGACTTTTATTTTAGGTGAATATAGAGAACTGAAGGCTGTCGTTGGCTCCGTGGCCATCGCTGACCTCCCTCGGTGCGGACGCCCAGCCCTCCCTGAGGGCCCACGCAGGCCTCTCCAGCAGCGGCAGTCCTCTCTCGCGCCCTCCGGGGCCCGGAGCAGGTGTGGCTCTGCAGCAGGAGACCACTGTCTTCGTTTGGAGAAACAGCTTCGACTCTCAGTTGTATAGCTCATGCTCTCAAACCCGCCCACCTTTCTTGTTGCAGACACCTGAACATCTCATAGTCTTTTCTCTCACGCCTTAAATAATAGTTCAGCCCCTGACTCACTGGTGTTTCCTTCAGTCCTCTTTCTGTTATCCCGATTGGCCATATGATTTCTCACTGATGGCCTCCTGACAGCCTGGCCCTCCAGCTCCTCGAGAACACATTTTTCAAGACTTGGCCTGTTAGCCCTACTCAGCCACTCACTTCCATGACCGTATCGCAAACCCGGCCATCACAAATAACTGCAGCTCCTCTGTCCTCTCAGCTTCAAGTCTCGCTCTCTGACCACCACCCGCTGTCCTCACAGCCCACCAACACCTCGACTTCCCTACCCCAGCACTGCTTCACTCCCGCCCTTACCCGGCTCGGATCCCGTGGGGCTGCATCTATCTTCGCTTCTTGGCACTCATCCTCAGTTCCCTTGAGTCCTACTCACATGACACAACCCCCACCTGCCCCATGAAGCTGAACGTGGGTGCAAAAAAGAATGACCTGTTGCTGACTTACTTTGCTTTATAGGTGTGACTGCCAAGCAAGCCCACCTCTTTTCCCTGCCTCCTGGAAGACTATGGCACACTTCTTCCTCTGTCCCCAAACTTTTCATGCCTCCTCATGCAGTGCCATTCTCAGCCAGTGACCTTGACTCTAGATCACTGGCATAACGGGAACAATTAGAAGACAGTCCTACACTCTCCTCTGGCCCTACTCACCACGACAGGAGACCACACCCGGGTGCCTGATGTCTCCTATGGGCAGTAAAGGGGGAACTGTCCATGCTTCTGCCTGTGCACTTCAGCCCAGTCCTTGGCCCCTAACTCGAACACCTCCGCCCCCATGACTTCTGCCATCGTCTCCATCTTCTTCTTGCTCACGGCGCTCACAAAAGATGTCAGCGCCCTTCTGCCCAAGAGGCCTTTGCACCAGCTGCTCCCTCTGCCCAGAGCGCTTTCTCTTACTTGCTCCCTTACTGCCGTGACGTCTTCACCAAAATGTCCCAAAATGTCAGCTCACAGTGAGGCCTTACCTGAGTGCAAAAAGCAGCAACATCTCCGCCGGCCGCAGTCCCACTGCCCTGCCTTGGTCTTATTTGCCCTCATGGCACTTATCACTACTTACTTTCCCTTTTTCTCTTTTTTTAACTGTCTCTCTTCTTCAATTAGATTATAAGATCTATAAAGTCAGGGTGTTTTCTCTGTTGTTTAATTTCAGCTGAATCCCCAGCGCCTGGATTTGTGCCTGGATACAGTAGGCACTCAGTAAATATTTGTTGGATGCATTTAACAGTTTACAAAATTTTATCCTGTGGCCTACTCAGGTGAGAGAAGAGGCTAAGAATGGACAAATACTAGTTACATTAAACTATAGATTCATGTATTTCAACTGAACTAAATTCAGGAAACATATTAAATGCATCTTTAGATACATTTTTTTCATATTTCAAAATGATAAAAATAACCAAAATCCTGACCAGTGCTGACAATTACATCTCAAATGAGTTACTATTATACTTAAAACTTAAAGGGAGTCTTAGTCACTGATTTATTGTAAGAATTTTTAAAAAAGAATTCTGAATATCTAAGTAATACTACTAAATTAATCTATATCAAAAAGCTACTAGAATGAATGATCGAACAAATACCTACCTATTCCCTCTAATCTAAAGGGCAAGATAGCATACAAAGTTATAAATAGCACAAATTTCTCCAAAAGTCCTAATTGTGATGAGAACTAAACTGGGATCAGACTAAAACCAGAAGTCCTAGAAATAAGCTAGAATTGTGTTAGATGGTGCTTTCCATGACCTCAGCAGGAGACCCTGATTAAATTTGAGTATTCTGAAATAAATGAAGCTGATCATTTCAACCGCTGGGAGCCGAAAACAAGATCTGTTTTGGATGATGCCAGGGTGATGTTTTTGTCTGCTGTAGACTGTTTTTGATTCCAGAGTAACCAACAGACAGAAAAGGAGCAGTTACTCTTGCTAGAGAAGTGACCACAGGTAAATTGCATGTAACTTGCTCGCACCTCACAAGTCTAAGCAGCAGGGCTTACCTATCACATCTCCTTGCTCGTGAATCATCATTCCCAAATCTTTAAAGATTTCATTAATATCCATAATATCAGCCTAGGAGAGAAAGTCACATATTATTATAATCAGAAATTCAGTCCCCAATCCACCAATGGGGAAAATAAAAATACCCCAAACCACCATGCATAGAGAATACACAAATTTTACAAACATCAGAAAAGTATTTAACTATACACAATCCCAAGTAAGTAGAGCTTGAATGACAGTAACCAGTCCTCTAAATAAGTTTGTGATATTAGAACTACCAAGGATTGCAGGATGGAAATGAAGGATCTGTATTAGGAAAAGGCTGTGCTTACTAAATTTATGTTATATAATCTCATTTGTCTTGTTACCAAAAACATTAGTTTTGCCATTTCCTCAGAACGGTATAAAATATTCTTTATATGACATATTCCTAGTAAAAATGTATACATACATCAATTTGACAACTTGAAAGAATAAAATATTAGGTGTAAATTTAAAGTCTCATATTAATAAATTTGAATATGCAATGGAATACTGATGGATAAACAAATTATACAATTACTTTTCCTCAATATATGATAACTATTATATTTGCCCACTTAAAGAGTAAAGTTTAAATACTTTACTCAGGAGGGATGGGGCCTGTGTCTCAGTTCCTCCATCTGGAATGTGGCAATGACAATGTCACAGGTAACCACTTCACGGAGATTTTATGGAACTCAACACGACAATGAACAAGCAGAGCTTAGCACGCAGCAGTGCTTGGCGCGTGGATGCCCTCAACAAGCTGCAGCTGTTGGTAGCTCTCAGCAGCCCCCCTCTTAGGGAGCCAGGAGGTGCCGTAAGAACTAAGGCTTTAGGTTTCTTTGATGTCACAAGCGCACTAAAGAGAAATAAAATGCTTTTAAAGCCCTTGTAAAAGTTGTTAGTCATGCAGGTGAGACGTGTATCATGTGCCGCGGAGGCCCTCCAGACTCCCTGAACAGACACTTATCTCTAGGCTGCTATTTTCTAAATGTTAAGGTGACCTAAGATGACTTAAAAGAATTAAAAAAAAAAGTGTGGAAGAAAGTATCTTCTCTCATCCGAGTACAAATTCTGGGGAGTTTTTTTTAAAGGAATCATTCTAACTTCTATGAGAAATGCCACCAAATCGGTATATTTACTTGGTTTCCCTTCTCGACCCCTCTCCCAGCACTCGCCGAGCACCTGCAGGGCAAACTCGCTGAGGACAGAGCAGCAGTCACCTCTACGCTGTGACGCTTACCTCGAGCTGCCTAATAGAAGACTCTCTCTCGTGAATAAGGCGGAGGTCATCCTCTGTAATTTCGTCATCCTGTACTTGCACTTGAGGTTGAGTTTGGCTAATAAGAAAAGAATATGGAAAAAAGAATGAACATATTAAAACAATAGGACTTCCTCACTATTTAATGAATACAAAATAGAACATTTTTTCCAAGTCAGAGAACAGCTCAGGTTATAAGAATATAACAAAAATATTAATCAAATCTTACATTTCATGTCACTGATAATATTTTTTAGTTATGATTTAATTATTGGAAAGCTGTATTTGGCAGCTGGGTATTTCTTGTTGGTTAACTAAAACCTCACACAAGGGCATTCTCTACATTAAATACTAATTAAGCAATAATATTTATGTGGACAAATAATTGTATTATTCCTTATTGGAAGAGTTTAATATATTTATGTATTTTTATAATAAATACTGACAAAATTTTCTTCAAATGTATTATTTGTTTTCTGTTTATAAGTAACTTAGGATAGCATGGTGTAAAATATGGAAAGCTCTAATTCTGTTCTAGGGACCATAATGTACAAAATGTATTTGAATAAGTATCTTTTGACCGGTGTTATGTTTTATACTTCTTACCTTTCCCACGATACAAGGTTCCTTTCTTTTGAGCTCTCCTCAGGAAAACCACCCTGAATAAGTTAGCAACAGATCAGATTGAGAAGGAAAAAGAAAAAACACGTAACACTCACATTTCCCCTTGTAACAACCTGGACTGATTTACATATGTGTGTGAACATACATGTAGAGCAAAAAAAGTTTTGTTCTAATATTTTAGCTCAAATACTTCAAGTAATAATGAAATTACATCTTAAGATGACAAAGATGGCATTCATTAAATACTCCCAAGAGCCATATAATAAATTATTTAATTAAAATGTAACATAATCTTGGAAACTCTACATTAAAGAACAAGAAAACAAATTGTGATAGTTTCTACGGGAATTTTAAATTAGATTGAGTCAAAATTCTGGTCGAAATTATCCTTTCACTTATTTTTTCTGGGTTATATTTCTCCATGTGAATGAAAATTTTTTAATATTTGCATGATATATACAGTTTGTTCATTTCCGCCTTCATATAACCTAGGAGTAAAGTGCTCTCTTAGTGCACGAACACTAAGTAAGACATTCAAGTTCAAGTAAATGTGGAAATATTACTTAGGATTTGACCCCTAATCTCTTCTGACAAAATATTTCTATATTCTTAATATAATCTAATCTTTTATTTCATGACGTGGATAAAATAAGCACAGTAATGTATGACTACATAACTATCAACGTTCTTAAAAACTGGCCAGAAACACTTGAAAATTACTGAAATACTGATTTCCAAGATATTCACAGGTCTTTGTGACTTACAATGCATGCCCACGTCATCTTTCACGGGATCCCCACAAAATATTATGCCCATTTCCACAGCGCCTTTGCAAATACTTACAGATACTCTGGAACTGGCTCTCACGCGAGCAACAAACTCTTTTTCTTTCTCAGCAGCTTGCCTCTGGACCTTCTGAAAGTTGGTCAGTGATGTTGTGAACTCAGCCACCAAGCGATCCTTCTGGATTTTCCTTTGACGCTAGAGCAAAGGGGGATAAAAACCTACTAGAATCAAGCTGTGAAGTTCTACAAACTTTGTAAAAGTTGTTTAACCATGAGCTCACTCTTTATTTAATTCTGAAATTCTTACTCTCCAATTACAGGGCATTACTGACAGATTCTCAATAACATTTTGACAATATGTTCAAATACTGTATAAGTTTACCTTGAGGCAAAAAGTCCATAGTGCTGAATTTCTCACCTCAAATTTTCACTAAAATCTGGGTTACTTTAAGTAGTTCATCTTCTTTTTCTTTTCTTTTCCTTTTTTTTGGGGGGGGTGGGGAATAAAACCTTACACTCTTACCTACATAATAATGTCTGCTAAGTAAGCGAGGAAATAAATACGTGCCCCTAGGAAACCTCACATTTTGAATGAGTGCGCATGTTATACGAAGTCAGCTCTGGAAGGCCAGGAAACAATTACACAGGAGGCATTTTCTGAGCACTTACTTAATTATGGGTCAGGGCAAATGCATGGAAATAATTTTTGCTTTATTGAACCACAGGATATTACCTGGGCAATTAAATACAGTTTTGTGTTCTGTGAACTAATCTCAAATAGAATTCCCCACCCCCAATCCCCATGATTTCCTTTCTGGAGTACCAGTTCAAAGATCTCATAATACATTCGATTCCTTTTATATTCAATATATCAACAATGTGTTTTTAAAGCTTGATACCTGTTCACTGGGGGTGGTAGGCAGAGATCCAAACTCTTTAATGTACTTATCTGTTTCTTTGGCAAGTTGGTTAGTATACTGCTGCTTCTGTTGCCTAAAGTGAGAAAACACACAATATAGAGAAAGAACTAATATATTTCCCTAAGCTACAACTCTGCCATTTGAATCAACCCCGATAATACTTTCATAAAAATCACTATCTTCTAGGCCAGCTCCAAATTTCTCTATGAAAATAAATTTTTCAGGTTCTATTCTTTGATAAATATTGAGCAAATATTACATGGAAAGGTAACATTACAGTGCAGGTAACCAAACCTTGAGAAATAAATGTCAGTGGCTACTTAGAAAGGAAGATGACTCAGACCAACTCAGGACTGTGAGATGTCTCATGTTTGAGACATTGGGTGTGTGGGAGCCTCCTGTCTGCATCCCACAGCTGGGAAGTCATTAGTAAGTGAAGAGGATTTGTTGCCTTTGAGCTTTGCCCGATTCTCAGGTCTTAGGGTACACCTGGCTTCTCATATTTTTATATTTTACAGAAAAGTACAATATAAATTATAGGTAACTATAAATTCTTCAAATTGTGTTACATAAAAATATGAATAATTATCATCAATCTTTACATTTCTTCATTTCTTCCTTCCAGATCTAATGTTGTCTGGCATATCACTTACCACGTATATGTTACTGGAAATTTGTAGCCATAACTGCACTGAACTAAGATTTAAAACTCAGGTTCAGAGTGATGTTGAGCAAATCATCAAACCCCTAATAGACAGGTTTTCCTTACAAGCAAAATGAAAATAGTTCTTTTGATTTATCTCACTGCAGTTTTATAAGGTTCACATGAGAAAATGTGTAAAAACACTTCTAAAATCTTTAACATCACAAAGTATTATTGCTGTTCTTCTAATGGTATATTAATTTAGTTAAACATGTATTATATAACTTTATTGTAACATTTTTTTAAAAAACAGATAAATGCTTTCTGAAATTCAAGTATGTAGGTACAAGCTTTTGAGGAAGAGTTCGTATTGGATATGGATCAGATCTAAACCAAATAAAAATCTGGTCACTGTAGCATTGTAGCTATGGGAAATAAATCATACACACAGAGAAGCTTAGAGTATCATTTTTTAAAAGCTGCCAGAAACAACCTATTTAAAAAGTAAAAGAAAAATAACTAAAGAAGTTCTGCTTTGAGAGAGTAAGGCAGATCTTTAAAAAAGTCTGCCTCCTTTGGACAAGGAAAAACTTAACACAAAAGTTTGGTACAAATAAGGGAGCAGAAATACCTTATTAAGTTTCCATTGTTTTCTCCAGTAAACATAACATTACATACTATCAAAAAATATAACAATAGTTATTTTTCCCATTTTTTTAAATTAAATACTTACAACTGCTGCCTCAATTCGGGTGAATCTTGAGGTGTTCCAAGTTGATTCAGAGTCCTCTGTATTTCCACAGCTATCATGATAGGAAACAAATGTGTAATTGTTACAGATGTTAGGGCAACAGAAAATAACTCAGAAATTAATATAAGCAATTTGGCAATTAGAAAAAGACAAAGATAAATATAGAAAACTGTTAAAAAGAAATAAATGGTATATTTGAATCTAGAAATAATGAATTAATTTTCAAGGGGAAGCTGTGTGGGGGCATTAACATAAGAAATTGCAGTTATGACCCAAAAGTAGTATGCTCTCCCATCTCCCAACAGAACATTCAGTGTAACAGCACACAGACTTTCATTTAAAAACTGTGAGAAAGATCATTGTAACAATTGCATAATTCATTGAAATATATAGTAAATGAAGTATACTAAATAAGCAAGGAAGGAATAACAAAATGAGAAAGAATTATTTTTCAGTTATCTCTGTAATAAGTGATTCAAGCAAGGATCATCAAAGGATGCTAAATCCACAGGACATTCACAGGACCTCAAATTATCACCACATAGATGACATTAATTACAAAGAGCTAACTTCATCTTAGTTTGTACCTTAAGACAAATGATCAAATTTAGCACCATCAATGGTACCAACTAGTACAATGAGGGTCCTGACAATACAATAATAAAGTCAAAATATGATCTATGTATTTTCCTTGCCAAAACATTTAACCCTCAACTAATCATAAGAAAGAAGACAGGCCAATCTAGACTGTAGGATAATCTACAAAACAACTGGCTTGACTTAAAATGTCAAAGTTGCAAAAGGAGAAAAAGTGAAAGCAGGAGAGCTTTCTATGTTAAAAAACCAGAAAAGCCCCAAATAATAAAACATACAAAAGGTAATATGATTTTTTGACTGGTTTCTAAGTTAGAAAAAAAAATGCTATTAAAAACTGTGGGGGCAATTGAAGAAATTTGAATTAAAATTTTATTTTGGAGGACAGATATTAAATAAATGTTAAAAAATGGCCCTGACCAGTGTGGCTCAGCTAGGGCGGTGTTGGCCATAAAGCAGAAGTTCACTGGCTCGATTCCTGGGGTTGCAGGTTAAGTCCCCAGTCGGGGTGTGTGCAAGAGGCAACTGATGGGCTTCTTTCTCACATCCATATTTCTCTCTGTCTTTCCCTCTCCCCCATCTCTAAGATAGATGATAAATAAAATCCGTAAAAAAAAAAGTCAACAATTGGTGAACTCAGTTGAAGGGTATATAAAAAGTTCACTGTACTATACTTTACTTTTCTGGAGGTTAATACACTTAAAATTCAAAATAAGGAGTTTAAAATTCCAACTGAACTCACCCCAGAAGTCTAGGACCACTGCAACTTTTTTTAAACAAAGGCTCTTTACAATGGGGGGGGGCCCGCAGTTTCACGCATGTGTGCACACAAACATAACGTTGAGTATAAATAAGCTGCGGGTCCATCTCAAGGTAAGGGAGAAAACTAACTCAACCCACCTGTTCTTTTCATTACAAAAGAAGTGGTTTACTTATATAGCTTAAATGCTTTTAAATAGTCGTTATTTATTTATGGGATCAAGGGAATGATTGTATTCCAAAACACAGTATAACTTTTGTTCACTGGGATGATGTAATGAACACCACTTTCAAGTTGAAGCTAAAAAATAGCAATACTGAAGGGGAATCATAGAGCATATAGCAATTGTTAACCATTCAGCTAGTTTCAAAGGAATCTCTTTTTGCCTTTGTTTTGGTGGATTTTTCTTTTGTAGGGTGGAGAATTCTTGTTTGCTGTTTAAAACTTATGGTTGCTTGCAATTAGTTATATATTTTCTTTTTGTTCTAAATAGATTTTCTTGGACTATCTTAGAAGAGTTTAAAGCTTTTATTTTTAAAAAAATCGTATGTTGATTAAACTAACTGAAGTGTAGACTTCTAGAGGATAAAACTAAGCATTTATCTCATCTCTAGAGGGTTCCTGTCTTTTAAAAAGGTCATATTAAGTGAGAAAAAACAAACTGTTCAATAAAAGGATACCACGAAAATTCTTTAACCATTTGGGGGTTACAGAACCCTATCTTACTTCATATAACAACATAAATCTGTAATAAATTGTTAATTTAAACATAAAAAATTGAAACCATTAAACTGTAACATAATATTATAAAAATGTATTTATTATATGATATTATTTATGATGTTGGTGGGAGGTATAAAATATTATCTAAATATGACACAAAACTACAAATCATGAAGGACAATATAACAAATTGACAAAACACACAGAGTGTTAAATGTTACATAGAAAATATATAACCATGTTAAAATATACATAAATAACATGTTTGTGTGTATAAATGGGAGAAAATATCTGGAGCATATGATGAGCTCCAGGAGTTCATACCCCAAATAGTAAAAAAACACTTAAAACTTGGTGATAAAAAAATACCCCAAGAAAAAAATGGGCAAAAAATATTATCTTGAAATTTAAACAAGCAAACAAACATATAAGAAATTCAACTTCACTGATAATCAACTTTGCACAATCAGGTTGGTAAAAATCAAGAAAAATAAGCAGGTAAGAATATAATTACAATCAAAAGCCTTAAATACAAAAGGTAAAGACAACGATAGAAGAAACAATAGCCACACTGTATGAGGAACCAGAAATAACTGAGAAAAAGCCAGACAAAAAAAATGGGCCAAGAACAGAAACTTTAATAATAGTCACTGAACAAATGAATAGCAAAAAAAAAAAAAATTGAAAACTATACCATCCTGGAAAGGATAAATAACTTTCATGTATGAATGCTATATAAAATTTAGCCATCAAAAACTATTAATGGTTGAAAGTATATGATTATCTTACCCAAATGCTGTACATCTGAAACTAGTACAGAATAATACTAAATGAAAAACTCTACTTGAAAAGAAAGAAAGCTGTCACCCACCACAGAAACAGAAAGAGAAAGATTAAGTTGAACTGCTTCTGACAGTCCCAGTGGGAGCCTGAACCCACCGAATGGGTATGCCCCTGGTTTGTCTTTAAACAGATATCCTCAGTAGCCCCAGTCTTCACCCACTCTGCCTGAGGGTTTTAGGGAAAGGAAGAGAAAACTGGAAGCCCCTGGACTGCACTCCAACAAAACGGTAAGCCAAGAGCCACTCCTATTCCTGTCACATTGCTCAGAAACGCCACCGAACACCTGACAAGCTGCAAGTGGTGAGGCCTTCCCTAACCCCATCTAACTGGCCCATCCGGGGGGTGCAGAAGGTGAACAGCCTCGGTGGCTGGCTGGCAGAAGCCTGTTCAGATAGTGACTCCAACCGAAACGCTTTTCAAAACGTGCTATTTGCTAGAACAGATCATCACAATCTCTGGCACCTTGTATAAACCTGCTGATATGGTAAGTACTTTGCTCTATCCTAAAAAAACAGGAAACATGAGGAGTTTACTTTCAATTGGACAGAAGAGTAGTGAGCCTTAATAGTTTTATGCTGGTCTATATATGCTCATATCTCTGCAGTACAAGCCATTTTTCTGGGATGTTGGTCATCTCCTCCTGTAGGACACTACACTAGTCCAACACATTGCTTATATCTGCAATCTAGAATCTGAAAGTAAAATGCAGCATGTACTTAGGGGCCTTGGAAGGATGTTGCTATGCTAGCAGGCGGAAGATACACTCCATGAAAATATGAGGGTTTCAGAAAGGATTCTTGGTCCCTTAATCTGTCTGGACTGTTGACATAATTCTGCAAAGTAAATGGCAAACTGCTTTTTTTAGAGTCTCAATACTAATAGGGAACAGTGCATAGTGAGAATCATGCTGCTCTAACCCATTTTACCAAGGGCCCCAAGAGATTGCCAGCCTGGGCTTCAAGCCACAAAAGTGAAGACTAAGCAGCTAGTTCAAGTGGTGGTACAAGCAGCTCTACAATATGGCTTTACTGACCCAGCTGATCCAATGGTAACTCAAGTGCCCGTGTATTATCAGGGTGCTGTATAAAACCAGTCCCAAGTCCCAACAGAAAAAAAAACCCATAGAAGTCCCTTAGAATCCTGAGGCAAAATCATGCTGTCTTTGGCAAACCCATGTTATCCTTCTGAAGAATAGTTCTGATCTTGCTACTGAGCCTGGGATTAAAAGCAAACAATGGTCACTAGGCAACCAAGTGACCTGAGCTGCCCACTATGCAGGAGGTGTGATGTAACCTTGTTGGTGTATCAATTACTATATTGGTTCTATGTATGTCAGTCAACCTGCCCCCAATCCCAATTCCTATAGCATTTGTTCAATGGGATAATAAACTAGCAATGGAGGCATAAAAGCCTAATATAGGCTCACCAACTCAGACTTCCCCTTTCTCAAACTAACAAGCTTACTGGCAATGCCACGTACCACTCTGCAGTAACAGCAACCAAAAGTGAGTATGTGCTATGCCACTATTCTTGGAGGCATCAGCCAGACACTTGGTGGCAATAAGATTACACTCCTTCCACCGTGGGGGAGGCAGAATTGTATACTCACTGACATAGGCCTGCAGATCACCCCAAGAGTCCCCCAGCTTCCCAGTCCTTATATAGCCACAATCGTGGTATTCCACACACCAGCACTTCTGAGGAGGATATGCACTTCACAAAGAAAAAATTAAGATATTCAAGGACAATGGGATTCACTGCCCTGCTGCATTTTATTATCTAGAACCTGCTGGGCTTCTAGAATGTTTAATGGCCTGTTGAAGACTCAATGATGGTGTCTGTCTTGGGAGAAAATATCTGGGAAAGCTGTCCTACAGGATCTTTATGCTCTCAAAGGACAACCACTCCAGGGTGCTCCTGTTTCACCCACAGCCAGAAGGAAAATTCAGATTTGGAGAGGAGTGAAACTGAAGAGAAATGTTTCATGTTTATACCAAATCACACATTGGCAAATTTCCTTCCATCTCTAGTGGTAACTAAGAGACAATACCCAAGTAAGAACCACAACCATGTCTTTACCTGAGCAGAGACTGAGATTGCATCTGCCCATTTGGTGCCAGGAGAGTATGATG